ATGGGGGAAGTGGGAATGGTAGGGGAAAGGAAATAAGGGAAAAGAAAAAATATAAGAAAATGAAAAAATGGAAAGAGTTTTTCTAAATAGGGAAGGGAGGAAGGGGTGAAGGGAGGGCAGGGGTAAGGGGAAAAAATGAGAACCAAGACCTGTCATGTAAAGGTACCAGGGCCCAATGATGAATGTAACTGTACTGTATACCTAGCATGTACCAATAAACTCAGTGTGGAAAAGCAAAAAGAAATCTGGAAAGACATCGTCATGTCTGTGCTGCTGGGAGTGAGCAGAATGAAGAGTCGGGATATAGAGGAGCCTCACAGCCTCCTCTTACAAGACATTTTGGTGATCATCAAAATCTCGTTTTATTTGAGAAACACTCTCAGCAGCAGGTAGAGGCACCAGGAAGAGCAGCTGGGGCAGCCCAGCCTCTCAGTTCTGTTTCCCTATTCAGTTTATGTCATGGCTTGTATCACTGTGGGAGGATCTTCATAATATTGTAGACAGTAATACAATGCAACATCTTCAGGCTGCAGGCTGCTGATGGTGAGAGTGAAATCTGTCCCAGACCCACTGTCATGGAACCTCGGTGGGATTTCAGTTTCCAAATTATCTGTAGCATAAATTAAGAGTTTAGGAGCTTTTCCTGGTTTCTGTCAGTACCAGTTTAAATCAGTGTTAATATTTTCACTGGTCCTGCAAGTAATAGTGACTGTGTCTCCTGCTGCAGAAAGGGAGGTTGGAGCCTGGGTCAATTGATGTCACATCTGGCACCTGAGAACAGAAACACAAAAAACTAATGTCACATAATCACATTAAAGTCCAGATCTGGCCACACTGGGCTGAGGAAATTCCCAGTGCTGCTCCTCCTTACCTGGGAGCCAGAGCAGCAGAAGCCCCATGAGCTGAGTGGGGATCCTCACGGCCATGTTGTGTCCTGACTGGGACTGACTTCTGCACCCCTGTGAACAGGCTGTTAAGAATTCTTCAGGGCAATGGGCTGTGCTGTGGACACATGTAAATCAAAAGGGCAGGGCAGGGCCGGGCACTTGTCTGGGTCAGATCAGAGCAATATAGGTTTTCCCACAGAGATTTAGCTTCTCATTGCATTCAGTAAGTTAAAAACAGTATTTGGGGAATATTATTAATACTAGAATTTTACTTAAGTCTAGATGTCATCTATTTAGCAATTTTATTATGATGATATGAGAATATACTTAACTGTAAAGAAGACATCGTATATTTTAGAGGTAGTCTATCAGATCTTGAACCAATTCTCAATGTGTGTGTACATGTATGGAAGGTGGATTTCATGTTATAGTTATACAACTGTTGTATGAGTCTGATTTTTTCCATGTTTTAAATAAATAGGAAATTTATCAGGATACAGTAAACATTTTCAGTATTATTTTGTTAAGGCACTAAGCCACTGCCATTGTCAGAGTAACACCAAATAATGTACTGGAGATGTGTGGCCGTAATGGCATGATTCCCAGTCAGTGTGTCACCCTCAGATCCAACATTATCGAAAACCACTCTTTCAAATCCAGAAACTAAATTGACTGTACAGAATTCTTGGTTTGGAAACCTCCGTATTGTATCCCTTTTCTTTCATTTACTAATATTTTACACAGTCCCTCAGCATGTATGGATGACTGGTGGTCTATGACTTAATAACATAAAAAGGAAAACTTGTTTCTTCCTTCTAAGCTGCAACACGAAATTAACACCTCTAACAGACATTGAAGGCAATCAATCAAAATTTAATAAACCATTGATTAACCTTACTCCCCAACCCCTGCACACATAACTACATGGAAGAAATTGAAATCCAGAAAAGACAATCATACCACGACGTGGAGGGAAGCACCAACTCCTGAAATCCAGGGCTGGAGAATCCTGGGTACAGCTTTCAGGGTCCTGACTAGAAAGAGTCAGGCAGAGCGTCCTTTCTGAAAGGGAGACTCCAAAGTCTCCCTGCCAGTGAGGCTTCTAAACAGCAGTTGAGACAAAAGTGGCAGGGTCCTAACTGTGTACTTGATCAGGGGCGGGGTTTTTGAAACTTCTAGGGACTGACCAAGTCCCTGAAGGAACAAACATCTGCACCATCTAAATAGGTGTTTGAGGAGAGAATGTCCTTGAGAGTGGGCCAGCTCAGAGGGAGTCCTGCTCATGTCAAGAAGCTCTGCCAGACATCTGACAGACAACTAATCGCTAGAACAAGGCCAAAACAATGCTATAAAGGGGGAAGATCTTTCTACATTTAATTTTAACCCCTCACACATGTGCTTAAATCAAGGATTTTGAGCTTGGGAGAATACCTTGAATTTCATGGGTGTGACCAAGTCAACACAGTGGTACTCCTAATAGGAAGAGTCACAGAAAGGGAACATGACAAATACTTGTGCAATGGGAACAAGGGACCATGGGGCAGGGAATGTGGCAGCATGTTGGAGGTGGAAAGGCCAGAATTTAGATTCTTTTTGTTTGTTTGTTTTGTTTTGTTTTTGAGACGGGGTCACACTATGTAGTTGAGACTAACCTGGAACTCACTATGTAGCCCAGGCTGGTCTCAAACTCACAGCGATCCTCCTCTCTCAGCCTCCCAAGTGCTGGGATTACAGGCATGCTCCACCATGCCCAGACTAGATTCTTTCTTAACGAGACTCTTAAATGAACATAGTCATCATGACTTCTTGACTTTAGCTCACTGAGAATTCCGATCTTCAGAACTGTAAGAAAATCAATCAGGGATGTTTGAAGTGAATGAGATCATGGTGATTTCTTAGGGCCATAATAAGCAACTTTTACAAGAGGGGAGAGTGTTTTTTTACCTCCAGGAGTAGGTGGCTGTCCTCTGATATCTCTGACATCTCCATCTTGTATATATTTGTTGTCTGTTTTGAGAAAGACATGGAATGGTTCATAATAAAGAGAGCTGGCCCCCAGAGTTCTCCTTAGGCAGAAGATCACTTGGTAAAGTATTTTTTCTCTTGTTAATCTTGATATTGAATGTTTTGGGGTCTGATCACACACAAACTGGGTCGAGAGGGAGTTTCCTTTGATACTTGTGAATTAGACAGATTAGATGTACATAATATAACATGAGTAGGAAAGATTGAGTCAGAGTGTGGGGATAAAAAGAGGAATGAAGAAGGATCAGGGTCAGATGTACCCTTTAACCTCTATTTGAATAGTCAGAACACATGAAGAATCAGAAAGAGTTGATTTTTATAAAAACAAAACAAAGAAAAGTACACCCACAGAAAAGACTAGGTTTGAGACCATGATCCACATGGCATGAGCAGAGACAGAAGGTAGCTATGAATTTTATATTGTTATTCTGGTGTGCTTCTCCTCCTATTACGTATGGCTTGCATTCATCTCTGAAGTGCAGTGGCTGCACCGAAGGAATATATTTAAGGGCAGACAGGCCTGGGTTCAAATCTTAATCCCAGTACTCCCTGACCATTTGATTTGTCATAATCATTGTGAGCTCAGATCCTAATTTCTCTCCCGTGTACAGTACTAAATTCACCATAGTTTTACAGGGGGTCTAATCCATGATCTACTATAAAATGTATATTTTTAGAGAATAGTCAGTTCCTTTATAGTATACCTTTGAGTAGATTAAATGAAGCAATTTTGTAATATATTGTTTGGCAGATGTGATTTTAAAATTAAACCAGGAATCTATTGTACAATGGCCATGTGGCTCACTATAAATTTAGTGTTATAGAGTTTGTAGTTTATTATGAAAAGATTCTTCAGTATATTCATGAGAGAAAAAAATGTTATTTATTTTTCCATCCAAAATTAAGCAATTCATTTCCATTTAAAATTAGGAACCTGAGTAAGTAGATTGCGAACATTTCAACCTTAGTCTAGATTTTCCCTCAGACACATTTGTATTATTTTCCAAAGGCTGTGGTAGCAAAATACCAATGATTATTTTTTTTATTAACGGTAGCCAGTTCTCTCAGATCTAGGGGTCAAAGTCTGAGATAAGCTTCAGTGAACCAATATTTTGGTGCTTGCTTGTTGACCCTGGCAGAGGTTATTGGAGAGATTTTGCTTCGTGCCTCTTCCAGCTCCTGGGGCTGCAGCTGTCCTTGGCTGTGGCCAATCCCTCCAGTGTCTTCCAGGATTTCACTTCCATGTGTGCTAAATCTTCCCCTGTCAGTCTCATATAAAATACTTGAAATTACAAATATAGTATGAATTTTGAATACAGGATAATCTCACCATCTAATAGGTTTAATTTAAATCTGCAAGGGAATATTTCTCACATAAAATATGGCCCAAGAGAAGGGACATTATACTTAGTCCACTAAATCAGTAAAGTAGCAACTATTTCTGTGCATACACTTGCCACATGATCAGAAATCCTTACTGGCTCTTTTTTCTTCTCTTTTTCCTTCCTCTTACGCCATCCCTCATTGCTCAGGGGCCACATCTGTAAAGCCAGTGCATAAACATCCTGTACATGATTGTGGGGCTTGATCTTTAAGCCAACTTGCTACCCACTGACCTGTCAGAATGAGTCTGAGCGCTCCACAGCGAGAGCCCTTGTCTCCCACCTGGGTGGAGGCTCAAGTCCCTCTTGATCCCCACAGTCTTTCAGCCTCACTGTGCTTCTGGTGACACTGCCAGGCTTATGACTTCCTCACTGTGCTTTCTGAAGTTGAGTAAACAACTTGTTCTGTACAGAGGGAAGACCACAGACTCTAGCATGAGAGCCCTGGACAGGTACAATGGATGATTACAGGAGCTGTTTCACATGATCCAGCTCCTTTATGTAAACTGAAATATTCCAGAGGCTCCTTTTTGTAAACTGAAATATTCCAGAGGCATTTCTCTGATTCCAGATTTGCTGCCTTCTCCAAAAACCTCTCAGTGACAAGCAAATCACACTTACATTTGAAAAGTACTCTCAGCTGGTGTCCACAGCAGGAGGAGCAGCTGGGCCAGCCCAGGCTCACACTTCTGCTTCTTAAGGAGGTTTATGTCATGGCTTGTATCACTGTGGGAGGGCTATCATAGCCCTGTAGACAGTAATAAATAGCAACATCTTCAGGCTGCAGGCTGCTGATGGTGAGAGTGAAATCTGTCCCAGATCCACTGCCACTGAACCTAGGTGGGACCCCAGAAGCTAATTCATCTGCAGCTTTAATCAGCAGTTTAGGGCCTTGTCCTGGTTTCTGTTGATACCAGCTTAAAGCATAGCCAATGTACTCACTGGCCCTGCAAGAGATGGTGATTGTGGCTCCTAAAGCTGCAGAAAGGGATGTTGGAGACTGGGTCACCTGGATGTCACCTCTGGCACCTGACATTGGAAACACAAAAACAAATATCCACATAACAAATCATATTACAAGAAGAACATCTCTGAGCACACTGGGCTGAGAAAATCACCAGGTCTGCCCTTCCTTACCTTGAATCCAGAGCAGCAGGAGCCCGAGGAGCTGAGCCAGGGCCCTCATGTCCATGTTGTGTCCTGACTTGGACTGACTCTTGTACAGGGTGTTTTCAGCCTATGAAGAAGTCCTCAGGGCAGTGGGTTGTGTTCTTTATACATGCAAATCAGCTCTGTACCATGAAATCTATATTAGAGGTAAAGCATTCACATCTTTCAGCTGCTAAAATTTATAGCTCATAGAGCCCTAATTTCTTCCAGCTTCCTCATCTCATAAATCTGTCTTTCGATGTTTTATTTTCTTTAGAGAAGGACAGTTTTCTGGGTTTTAGGTTAAATCTAGAGTGTCCCCCCAAGTGTTCATGTGTTCAGAGGTGGGCTTTTATAAACTTACTGTATCATGTGGTTGATACAGTTGACTCTATGGTGGATTCATCTTTGCATGTGTTCAAAAGCTGAATGTGCTGTTAGGAAGTCAGGCCTTGTTGGATGGGTGTCAAAGGGGCATGACCTCCTGGATATTTATCCCCAAATCCTCCCTTTTGTCTCTGCTTCTTGGCTGTCACAAGATGAACGTGCTTTCCTCAGCCATACACCTCTGCCATCCTGCTTCTGTCTTGCAGCCAGCCCACCATGGATTAAAAGTGCAAGTTAAAACGAACAATCTTCTTCTAACTGACTGGTCATGCATGTGGGGCACCCATGAGAACATAGCGACTAAGACAGTGGGGGTGGTGAGCCCTGTAGGTGGATGCCTCTACTCATAAGCTCAATGCATTGGGTGATGTCCACCCATACTGAGAGATAATATAACAATTACAAACATATGACCCGACCTATATTGGGAAAAGGTATAACAATTATAATCATATGTGACCAAATGTCAGAGCACTTACACATATAAATAAATATAGACAGATGTGTAGGGGAAAATGACAAAAATACAATAGACTTAGAACACTTCCACATCTTACTTTTAAGTCATTACAATATCCTGGCAGAAAAATCAGTAAGAGATTGCAAATTTAAGTAATATTTTGAGAAACAATACCTAAAATATATATATATATATAAACTTTCCAACTGAACAGCAGAATAACATACATTCTTCTCAAGCACACATGAAACATTCTAAAGAATAGATGCTTTATTTGGGTCACAAAAGAGTGTTAATAAATTTCAGGACATTGAAATCACATCAAAGTTCTTTCCTGACTACAATGGTATGATACTAGAAATCAATAATAGAAAGAAAATTGGAAAATCCGCAAACATAGGGAAATTATGCTTTAAATATATCCAATATGCCAGAGAAGAAAAAAATCAGAAAGCAGTTTGAAAAATACCTTGTGAGAAATAAAAATGGAAATCAAACTTTAAAAAAAACCTCACAGAATGTGGGAAAAACAGTCCTGAGTGGGAATTTTATAGTGAAAAATACATTAAGGAGAAATAAAGCTTATAAATGGCTCAACCTTACACCTAAAAACCAAAAACAATGTCCAAAATGAGCAAGGAAGTTAATAATAAAGATTAGAGTATACATTAATAAAATAGAGAAAAAATATTTAAAAAATCAAGAACATTAATAGTCCATTTTGGGGAAGAAAAACTCAACAATCTCTTATGTAAAGTAATCAAAATGAGAATTCAGAGCTGGAGATTTAGCTCAGTGGTTCTGCCGCCTACCTTGCAATCACAAGGACCCAAGTTCAATCTCTGGTACCAAATGTGTATGTGTGTGTGTGATAAGGATGGAGGTATTTTGTGTTATACTTACAAAAACTGAAATTAAAATGTTTTCATATTTTGTAATAAATAGGACTCATATCACAGATATATCAAATATTCAAAATCATTTTGTAATCATACTAATCTATTGTATCTTCAGAAACATCATTAAGTTTATTGCAAGTTATTGAAGATACACAAAAATAATACCATGCCAGCAGGTTCCCAAACCTGAAGGGAGGAAGACAGAGAGACAGGAGACAAGCCTTCTGCAGCAAGTCTAACTTTATTCTCTACTATCCACACTACATATAGACAAAGAACCACATGATTACAAGAGAAGTAATAAATCACGGTTATCTTAACAGGGACCAGATACCCTAGAAACGACTATTATGGGCTGGCGTAGCCAGGTTATAAACTGACGTATGTTATCCGTTGTTAGGGGCAACGGCACATTTCACACGTTCCTCTCGGTATTAGGTGAAGGAAGGGTCAACATGGCAGTGCTCATGCTAACGTACAAAGCTCTCAGCTCTCCATAACTGTACTTCTGATCATTTTCCCAGCTTTATCCATTCTTCACTGTGCTCTCTTTGAATGGGCAAGGGAGCTCTTGTTGAAGCAAGGGAAGACCATAGTCCATAGTCCCCAGAATGAGTATTTCCAGGTCAGCCCCAATTGATTATATGAAGAAGTATATACATACTCCATCTCCCTGACTTCAGTGAAATGTCCCAGAGGCATTTTCTATGCTTTTTGTATCAGAGATTCCTGCAGCAGATCCAGGTCTCTTGCTCAGTGCTACAGTACAAGGTGAAAAGAAAGACTTGGAGACAGAATGAAAGAGACAGATATGGGAAAACTGGAAGACCTTTGTTTGAGCAGTCAGAGGGGTGAAGAAGAAAAGGCCCTGAACACACTGAGCCATCAATATTTATTGGTGACATCGTAATTTGATTGAGGTAAAAGGGCTACATGTAAAGGGACTATGTGGGTTTGCTATGGATATGTCACTGATGGGGGAAAGGCTTATAAAGGAAGATAAAACACATTCTTGAATTAGAAACAGAACAGTCAAAATATAGGTTGTGGTTAATATTTAATTTTTGTCTTTTTTATTAAAAAAAGGTTTTAACTTTGGGAACAGAATTTGGGTATGAATCCCTCTGACCTCAGCACGTAGGACTTGGATGAACTTGATCCTCAAAACAAGCCAATTGTGGGGTTCACTCTTTACACCCTGTACTGCTTACAGCCTCCTTTGTGCATGATCAATGGGTTGCTTCCCATACCTTTCAGATGAGCTTTAGGTCCAGTTATCCTCTTTGGTGGCTATATGCTAAATGGCCTTTTACTGTCCATCTTCTCTTCCAATCTCCCTTTCCTCCTTTTGTTCTACAATTTACAGTTTGCAGTGAATACAATGTCTGCACAGGAAAACTTAGGGCTGAATGAATCAACCTATTAAATTCTTTCAGCATCCTATTCTCATGAATCTGTTACTTGAATTTTTTTTCAGGAATGGCAGTTTTCTTGGTGTTATGTTTTAAATCTTAAACATATATTCACAGATTGGGCTTTGGAAATTGATTGGCTCTTGTGGGAGCTATAATAATCAGTGCATTCATCTATTGCTTAGCTCAGTAGCCAGGAGTTGGGGCTGCTAATGGGTCACTCAGTGCATGACCTCAAATGGCCTATTCTTGTCCCAGAGTCATTCCTTCTCTCTGCTTCCTGAATGCCATGCATCCAGTGCAGTTTTCTCCACCATTACCTTTTGTACTCCTGTTTCTGCCTTTCAGCCAGCCGACCATGCACTAAAATTGTGAAGCATAATTTTGTCATGCTTTAAATTGTAGTTGCCAGTATTCTGCACTAGGGGCAGCAAGTGACTAAAATACTGAGGAAAAGGTGACCTATAGATAGATGAATAATACCTCAGTCCCAAAGTTTTCCATTTTCAATCATTGAATCCTGTGAACAATGTATTACACAGTAGAGAAGTCTTGAAAGATGTATTTGAATTAAAGACTTTGAACTTGGGAAAGGATCTTGAACAACCTGGAACGGGCCAATATAAATTCAATACATCCATTAGAGAGAGTAAGAGGTACACAAATGAACTTTGATAATAAAAATTGATGTTGTAGTGATGGGAGGAAAGGACCATGAAACAAGATATGTGGAGACATATTGGAGCTGGAAAAGCATAGAATCTGATTGTATTCCTGTGAGCTTCTTAAATAAACTTGGTCATATGACTTCTTCACGTTAGCTTAGTGAGAATTCAATTCCATTACAGCAAGTTAAACAAGTAGTGGTCTCTACAGTGAATGTGATCATGGTGAATTGTTAGAGCCAATATGGGAACTCCTACATAGGAAGAAACTGTCTTTTGCCTCCCTGATTTGGTGACTATCTTCTGATTTCTCCAAAATTTCTATCTTATAGCTATTTGTAGCTACATGGAACAATTTAGGATAAAGAGAGCTAACTTCAGAATATGTATTAGGCAGAGAATCTCTTGGGTAAAATACTTTATCTCTTGTTCATATGGGTATGTGAGAATGTTAACACCTGCTCAGAGAGAAGCTGGGTGGAGAGGAAATTTTCTCTTTATTCTTTATTCACTTGTTTCAGTATTAGTAAGTCTTTTTAGATGCCCCGGCCAGCAGGGTTCGTTATTAGTAGGGCTCGAGGAGGTGAACACCCGGATCAGGAACGGGAATGACGCAGGAAGACAAGAACCAAACAGAGCTCTTTTATTGGTCAAAATTGACAATTTTTATTTCTCACACAGCAGCTTTTATGCAGTCAGGGATGAGCAGGGACTTTCCCGGTTGCTAGGTTACCTAACCTAGGCTGGTCTAGCTAGATAAGGTAGGGCATGGCCAGAATGTTCCCGGGAGGGGTCAGAATGTCCCTGGGAGGGTGTAAAGTTCCTATCAGGGGCACACACACACACAGGGTGGAGGGCACACACAGAGGGTGGAGACGCACAGGGGTCTTGGTCTCCAACATTTAGATTTACAAATTAGAATATGAGAGGGAAGGATTGAGTGTTGGGAAAGGGCAGGAAAGTGGGAGGGCTCAGGGTTATGCAAGGGGTACCCTTGCCCACAAATCTGAAAAAAAACAGAACATGTGAAGGCTTTGAAAGAGTTGTGTTTTAAAAAACCCTATAAAGGGACTGATTTTAAGATTAGCATCAGCATGGTATGGGGCAAATACAGCAGGGGAGTTTGAATTTTACACTATCACTCTAGTGCTTCTCCTCTTGTTTTTACAGACCTTTTTCATCTCTGAAATACTGTGGTCACATGTGAAAAGTATACATTAAAGGGCAAACAGAACTGACTTTTTAATCATAGCCCCAGCTACCACAAACTGTTTGATTTTGGAGTAACGATGGTGTGCTTGGATCCTAGGTTCTCTCTTAGACACAGCAGTAAATGTATCAAAAGTT